TATCTTAATTACCAGCCATTGTTTCCCTATGAAGAAATTAATGATACATATCAGAGAATGCTATACAAGTGACCTTTTTTTTTACCATTAATTCATGGTTACTATGGATATAACCTCTGTTGGTTTTGGAGAAAACAGAGGAAAAGCAAAGAGAATTTGATTTTTTTCTCTGTCATGTGAGGAGAACAAAAACTCCAACCAAACCTTGTTACAGAGTTCTATCATCTATGGAAATGGTACTCTAATTGTGTTAAACTCTTGTTCTTGGTAAAGATATTGTATGCAAAAGCTGTCCAATGAGGCAGCTGCTTTCATTTAATCGAAAGTTGAAACAGAGGCATCTGGTTAATTTCGTATACTTTATTATTCATGTTTTTTTTTATAATTAAAAAAAGAGATTCGAACTCTGTTCTTTAAATAAGGGATCATGTATCAATGAGCTAAATATTTGGGTGTTTCTTTATTATTCATGTTTGAATGCTTTCTTTTAGAAAATATACTAACAACTTGTTGGGAGAGAATTGTTGTTTTCTTCTCGTCTTTCCTTAGCCAAAGAACCCAAGTTTGGTAAGGAACACCAACCCCAAACCCTTCTATAAAATTCTAGTTTTGGTATATCCATAACTTTACCAGTAACTTTTTTCAACATATATCATACAATCTGTACAATTACCATTGTGCACGAAAATTTGCAGTGCTTTCAAATTTAAGGAGCTATGAATAAGTCTTCTTCTGATTTGGTTGTTTGGTTATAATTATGAAATCTCATACCAGCTAATTTGTGTGCATCTTGATGTTTTGAAGTCTGGGTTTTAGTTGAACATGAGAAAAAGGAAGACAACAGTATACAGGAAGTAGTTTCTCCTTGGAAGGCAAGAACTGTTTGCTGTTATTTATAAGCATAGTAATGGATGGATATGGTGTCAAATTTTATCCTTCCAGGTCGACCTTTAATGGAAATTCAAAGCTTGTGATAAAAACTTAAGGACAAGACAATATTATGTGGGCATTTAAAAAAAAATGAAAGAGACTGCAAAGGAGAATATTGGCAAATATTGGCAAGAGCAGCCTAAGATCTCGACGGCTTCTTTTGGTATTGTACCTTCAAAATTCAGGCCATGTTAATGTTTAATCAGACAGTCAAAATTGCTTACGGATAAGATGATGACACAGATAGTAAGATTATAAAAATGGGTTTTGACAATTAAAGGAAGCAGCCTATAAAACTAAATTAAAATCCATTCCTATTAATTGGAAATAATTTGATATTTGTCTCTCGATTGGCATAAGGTTTCCACCTTCCAGGTTACTCTCCCAGGTTCTGTCCTACTTTGGGGAAACTGATTTCCCCCTGCAAAACCTGCCGCATGTTTCAGAAAGATATCCAAAATTAATCCTATCCATTTCCTGTCTTAAAAAAATTAGATTCTTTTAACTTCCCTGGCAGCATAAAAAATGGTACGACCTCCATGTTGCCAGGACTCCAATCTGAAGAAGAGGCCCTGGACTCGGGAAGAGGATCAGAATCTAGTTGATGACATCAATAAACATGGATGGACAACTCTTCCAAAGCTTGCAGGCTTGAACAGATGTGGAAAGAGTTGCGGACTCAGATGGACAAATAAAAAGAGGAAAATTCTCTGATGAAGAAGATAGTATTATCATCGGAAACAGGTATGTTCTGCTCGTCCCTATTTTACTCCGAAGTTATGGTAGGTATCTTTGAATCTGCATTGGTTTAAATTGTTTACCTCTTTTTGCAGGTGGTCAAGGATTGCTACTTATCTTCCACTACGAACAGATAATGACATCAAGAACTATGGGAATTCCCACATAAAGAAGAAGCTACTTAACATGGGAATTGATCCCAAAACCCACTAGCCAAGAACCGATCATATTTTAGATATTTCTCAGTTGATTTATACTGCACAATTAGGAAACGTAATGAATCCCTGGGACACTGCCTTTAAACTACAGGATGATGCTGCTCAACTAGCCAAACCCCAACTATTGCAGAATCCGCTGCAAGCAAATGCGGGTTTCTTGGGGTCTCAATATGTTTACCCACTGGTAAATGGGAGAAGCACCCCATCTGGCAAGGAACCCAACCAAGCACAGAAAACTCAGAGCTCTGGTTCGATTTCTCAGACATCGAGTAACTACCAGGCAGTTGACAAGTCATTGAGGAAGCTTGATTAAGCTACCTACATGTATAGGCACAATATCAAAAAACAAAAAAAAAATGTCCTTAAACAATTCCAAATTCTTATTTAAGCCCCTATTTTTCTATTTTGTGCAATTAAGTCCTGATACTACTATTTGATCCACTTAGTCCAAATTTAAATGGCTAAATAGTTTGTTAAAGATTTTTTTTATATAAATTAAAATATTTAAGACAATGATATACACCTAGAGTTGAAATTCATGCTTGTTTCCTTACATTGCTTACAATTAATATGAACACAACATTTTCTTTACATTATACTATTGCAACAAGTAAATTTGCTGAATCGGCCCAAGACACCCCTCTTTCTTAAATTTAAGGTTCTAGGATATTTTATTGAATAATTAGAAATAAATTTTTTTAAAAAAGGAAAAATTAAGGATATTCTTTTTTGTTCTTTTTGGATGATTGAAATTTCATTTCAGACCAACAAATCTGCCATAAGAAATCAAGATGGGGGCAAGCCACCAAAAATCAACCAGCTAAAATGGATTGGCTTATGCCCCAATTCATGCAAAGTTCTTTGTTAATATGCTTAGTAGCCACATTTAAAACAAAAGTAAATCTAGCTTGAACATCTTTGTGAAGGGTATTCTTTTTTTTCTCATTATTTTGTTCTTAAATACTCTATTCCTGATGCTAACATGTGCATCTTTGTTAATTTTATTTTAATTTAAATTTTCTAGTTGAGAGTTGACTGTTGTTTTCTTCTTGTCGCATAATCAAATCCAAGGTACTCGTACAAAGAATCCAATAAATATGTATACACTTCTTATTGCTGATCTTTTTACTTATTTTACTATCATTTTCACTCAAATTATCTCAAAGAACATGCTAGCTTCTCAATAAAGACAATGAGGAAAGAAATTAAGGAGCTAAATAATAAATTATCTTGTTTTAGCTTTTGGGTAATGATATTGTGTTTCCACTTTACAAATTGTTTTAGGGTTGGTAGATGTTTGGTTTTGCCTAGAAATTGAAGGTTATTTTGACCAGGTAATAGTAATAGCAATTAGCAAGTGAAAATTAACACATGATAGCTGAGGTCATTCTGTAGAAATTAAGAGTAACAGACATAACCTTTTTGTTCCTTCTCATGTTCTCCTGCCATTTAACAAAACTCCCAACTCAACTTCTCGAAGTCAGATGTCAAACCTCAAGATCATCATGCATGTTGAATAAATTATTTGATTCAAAGATTTGGTATTTATTGTCACCGGTCACAATGTCAAGGAATTTTTTTTTTTAATTTGAAAGAATGAAGATTCGAATTCTCCTCTTTAAAGAAGGGATCATGCAGCAATCAATAAATTAAATGTTCGGATGCAATGTTAGAGAATATCTAACTGTTTATTTGTTGCCTAGTTTAATATAAAACAAACCCCTAAATCCTAAAAAACCAAAACAAGCGTCAGATTATAGAGAAGTTTGCATATGAGATTTAATAATAAATTCATTCTATGCTTACTCAATTTAATTAGTAGTCAATTTTAAAATATTAATATATTTCCTCTTGATTTATGTATTTTGAATTTTTTTTATTGAAAACCAAAGGTTCTTTATATTAATGAAAAAACAGAATAATTTACAAATAAATTAAATAATTGCAAAAGCTTACCATTTTCATTAATCAATTGAACACTAATAGGAGATCATGTTAGCATTTTACAATTTAAAATACTATATATTTATGAGGCTGCTTTGTCAATTGGGTTGATCAGCCAAGAAATTGCAAATATTGCAAGAGCAGTTGGAGGCTACCGCACTTTATTTGGATTGCAACTCAAGCACGTCGAATTTTCGCAGAACTAACAATTCAGACGATATAAATACAACAACAAAGGGCCAAAATTGCTAACAGCTATGATCAGAGGAAATGGTTTGAATGATAAAAGGGAAAAAACTGTGCTTAACTAGAATAATGGGCAAGAGCTGTTGTTGCTGGTATAAGGGAAGCAACATATAATAATATGGTTTTGTATAATAAAAGGACGGTTGCTTGGAATAGTAGTTAAGCAATGGTATTGCTGGATCAAACAGTACCATTCCTGAAATGGCAGATTTGGAGAACATTCTCAAGGCCATAAGATACAATCAAGGAATGAAATATTACAAACATACTTACACATTCATGCATATCCTAGAGATTAATTCAAACCAACTCTTGTTTACCATTTAGGTTGAGAATTCTAATTACAATTATATTAGAATATTTTATTGAAATGATTCAAAACTTGAATCTTTAGTACAAAACGTACTTGATTTTATAATTAAAATTTTGAAGAAAAATGCGTGATATATATATATATATATCTATATGTCTATATTTAATACAATAATTCTTCTTAATTAACTTTCATTAGAATTACAAAAAATCCTTAAAAATCCTTCTTATATATGCTCTAAATCACAAGTGTTTGAGCTTATTCTAATCTTCGGCTTCACAGTCTATGATCATTCAACTAGGTTTCCTTCTATTTAATTACACTACCTAATCCTGATTTTTGGATCCTCAAATTTCTGAACTTCCAGGTTACTTGTTATTCGGTTTCTTGCTTTAGGAGACCTTGGAATATCATAATTCAAAAAGTATGTATGATTATGACATCATTGGTTTGAATTAGATAGTCCATGCAACTATAAAACCATGTGTATGTCAGTCTCACGAAAATATCAAAAACGAATCCTATTCCTTAACTTGTCAAGTTAAGAAGTTTCTGTCAATATCTAATATCTGGCTCTTCTCTGCTGGTTTTACTAGTTTCGTATCAGCAAAATGGGAAGGTCTCCTTGCTGTAGTGATGAAGCCAATCTGAAGAAGGGCCCATGGAGTCCAGAGGAGGATCAGAAGTTGATTGATTACATTAACAACCATGGCCATGGAAGTTGGAGAACTCTTCCAAAGCATGCGGGCTTGAATAGATGTGGAAAGAGTTGCAGACTAAGGTGGGCAAATTATCTGAGGCCTGACATCAAGAGAGGGAAATACTCGGAAGAAGAAGAGAGAATTATCATTAACCTTCATTCGGTTCTTGGAAACAAGTATATGTTCTTCTCATGCTTAATTTTTCTAAGAAAATCTGATAAATTTTTTCATTTGTGTAAGGTTACTTAAAAAGGGTCTTAAAGCTTTGATTTGAACCTTTTACAGGTGGTCGAAGATTGCCACTCATCTTCCAGGACGGACAGATAATGAGATCAAGAATTTTTGGAATACCCACATCAGGAAAAAGCTTCTTAACATGGGACTCGATCCAAACACCCACAAGTCAAGAACTGATCTCAATCATCTTTTAAACCAGTCTCAGTTGCTTTGTGCAGCACAATTAGGCAACTTGATGAATCCCTGGGACAGTACTGCTTTTAAAGTACAGGCTGATGCTGCTGAACTAGCTAAAATCCAGCTATTGCTAAACCTAATGCAAATCCTGAATACCAACAAACTCTCAAATGTTAGTGCTGGTTTAATAGGGCCCCAAAATTCTTACCCATTTGAAGGAGTCGGACTGGTAAACGGGACGAGCACCGTATGTGCCAACGAAACAGCCTCAATTCCTCAGAATTTTCAAAGCACTGGCTCAATGACTCAAACATCAAGTGATTACCAGCAGGGTGCCGACGACTCATGGGCATGTTTTGAAGGTCAATTCAAGTATGAAAGCCCTGATATGAATGACAAGTGCTTGAGCAGCTCCTGTGATTTTCAAACAGAAAATTCACTTTCTGCATTGGTTTCGGAATCTCCCGAGATTTTTTCCATGAACCAAATGGAAAACAAGACCAACCCCAATCACTGCTCAACCATCTCAGCAGACACTTCTATCTTCCAGGCTTGGGAGAAGCTAATGGATGATGAAACTGGTGACTCCTACTGGAAAGATATTCTAGAGTAGGTCTTTCTTCTCGTATGCTTGCTTTCATTTCCTTATTATTCCGTGCATATATATCATGTATCTAGACATTCAACAGCAACATGGTTTACTTGTTTATTTTTTGCAGTTTGACATCGTCGTCGTCATCACCCATAGAATGGTAGAACACCATTTATAAAGACGTATTAAACATACAACAGCAACCAGATAAAGAAGACAAATATTAATTTCATTCGATTTTCTTTCCCTTTTAGCAGATTTCTTTATTTACGTTATTCATTCGGGGAAGCTTGATTTAGCCTACCTGTGTATAAAGACACTTCAAATTCTTGTAAACCATTATCTATGTCTTTTTTTTTTTTTTCAATTATTAATAAATGACTGCAATTTCTTCCATAACCCAAATTTCTTCCTATGTTTCCACTGGATATTATTCATATGACCTTCGAAAAGCAATCCAAAGCCGATGAGTTTCCCACAGGTAATTAATTATAGTTACTAAGCATCCTAATCAAGGATTTTTAATTTATGGAGTGCATGTACGTGGAGCAGTTGGAGTAAATTCAAGGCTAACAACGAAATAAATTTGTTAATTACTGTTTCTCAAATTAATTAAATACTTTGCAAGCTTGATTGATAATTTAAGCGAGGGATTAAATTCTTTGATATGGAATCAAGCGGTCAGGGCCTAAAGGGTAAATTAAATTAAGGAGCAGTAGAAAGATTCCAAGCAGGAATGGAGGCCATCATTGACATAATTTTCTTAATAAATTAAAGTTTAGTAAATGATTTAAATTATTTTCATTGTCTGTAACAATAGTAATCCTCATAAAATAACATAACCTCCAAATTCGATTGAAAACACATGCAAATAGCCAATAGTCACCAACTTGTTTTCTTCTATTAATTTTTCAATATATTTTTATCCACAAAAGAGTTCATTTACGAAAAATTTGTTTCATTTGAATCTCACGTGAAAATGTTCATTACTTGTTTTTGGATTGATGACTTGTTGACAATAATAACACGTTGGTACATTTGGTTTATTGATTGGTACATATTATTAATTACGTTTTATTAAGAGCTTCGTATTCTATAATTTCATGGTTTGTTTAAGAAAGTATTTTCAAGTTCCATATAGTTTCATAATTTGTTTAACAAAGTATATTTAAGTTTGATTTGTTTTGTTATAGATCTTTTGTTTTAGATTCATTAATTAGGATTCTTTGTGTATATATATAATTATAAATAAAAATCTTCTATTCTTATTTGATGCTTCATTTAGTATGTCTTTCATAATTTTAAGATATAATATGCTATTAGGATTTAAGATTCAAAATTTAAGATTTAAGGTTTAGAATTGAATACATGACATAAAATTATGAAAAGAATATCAAAAAAAGATGGGAGACTTTTATTCATGATTTATTCTTATAGGAAAATGAATTTTTGCATCTTCTAATTATGCAGCAGTTTCCAATTAGCCCTTTTGGCGATGGGTTAGTAACATTATAACTTACAACAACTTAGTTTTTCCCTGGTTTCTGCTACATTCAAATGCATGCGATACGTGAACGAAGGAGCATACGCCACCGCCTAGCAAATTCCTGCCTTGTTCCTTACAATCTTCTTCAAACTAAAAAAGATGACCCTTTTTTTTATGTTATACCGTTGGCAACAATATTCACAAACCGCCATGAAAATCGAAATAAGCCAAAACCCAAGATAGCTTTACACAGAACTTCAAGGATGTTTCTTTCAAACAGAAGATTAAAATACACCATGAGGTTTTTAGCCTAGTCTAAAGAGACAGCATGTGGACCTTCGTTTTTTTTCTTTAATTTGTTAATGATTTCTAGTTGTGAGTTGACTGTTGTTTTCTACTTGTCGTTTAATCATTGCAGTCCAAGGTCCTCTCTGTTTGATGAATCCAAGTTTGATAAGAAACAATTTATTTGTTAATTCCTAAGCTTTTTACTATCATTTTCACATTAATTTCCCATCTAACAGACTTGTCAAAGAAGGATATGAGGTAAGGAAGGTTGAAAAAATTTCCCCAGCAGATCCTACTGTCCATAACTCCAAATCTTCCCATTGATCCTGGTTGGTTTACTTTAGATTATAACTTTTGATTTGTATAAAACACCTAGATCTAACCATAAGTCAAAACTTGTTGAGATAATGAAGGCAAAGTCAAACAAAGAAAGTAAGCAGCGTATATATTACGACTGCAAATATCAGCAAGACACAGAGAATTTTGTTTTTGCTCATGGATTATGGTATTCCTTTTGTAGCACTAGAAGATTAATACATTTTTTTTCTTTTACCTGTTAACTTTGCAGAGTAAATATTGCTCGCTAAAGCTGTCTGCAGCACTTCAAAAAATTAATTTTGAGCATAAATTAATACCATATCACATGAAACAAACCTATTTCTCAATTTTTTTTTTCCTTAAACAGGTGATTGAAGAGCTTAACACATTCATTGGTGGCAGATTATCTATAGAGTTTCATGGGTTGGTAAATGTTTGGTTTTGAAGGTAGAAATCGATGTTATTTGACCCGTTAATCTAGAGCAAGTAAATTCAGTAGAAACATAATAGCTGAGCTCATTCCCTGGAAATGCAGAAGTAGGCATATAATTTCCACAGGGCTTAAAGAAAGACTCCTAAACAAGGCACAGTTTTATAGTCTTTACTGCTGCCAAGGGCCGGAAGAACAAGAGCGTAAGCTGAATTTCTCAGGTCAAATGTGAAACCCTCTAATCTATATTTGATTATCTGATTCAAACTCAATTAGTTTGATAAATCTTGCGGAGTCATCACCCATATACCCTCCTTTTCATCTTTCTGATAACTAAATTTAACTGTTTTCAGTGGTCATCTCGCTTTTTATGCATGTTGAATTTGAATCAAATTCAAAGTTTTGTGGGGTGAAACTTAAGAGAAAGGAGAATCCCAGGATGACATTTAATTAAAAGGCTGCTATGGCGATTGGGTGATCTACCAAAAATGGGAAAGTATTGCAAGAGCAGGTAGAGACGTGTTGCAGGTATTTGGGAATTATATGAACATTGAACTTAGCGGAATTTACGATTCAAATGATGTCAATATTGCTGGAAATTGACAAAGCTGCTGACTGATATGGTGACGCCACAAATTAAGATTAGCAAAATGGTTTTAGGAAATGATCTAAAGAAATTAAGGAAACTGCTCAGAATCATTGTCAGGAGATTATATCCTATTCCATCTGGAGCAGTCATGACTAGAATATGCATGGTTGAATATAAGAATAGGCTGGGGCCTCAGAACAATTTTAAGCTATGATATTCCTTAATGTAACATTCAAGATATCACACTCATGACATAGATAATGAGAAATCAAGGAATTAAATAAATTATGGGTTAAAACCCTTTTTTTCCCTGCATATTTTAGGTTCATTAATGGCTATTGAATCTGTAGTTCCATGTTAGAATGCTGCTCTTTCTGTAACATTTTAGCTACTTAATTCCAATGACTCACACAATCACATTATACAAGTAGAGAGAAAATCCAAACCTCTTTATATAAATCTTGATTCAAATATGTCTAAATTGAAACACAACTTTATTATTTACATTTTAGCACAATTACTTGAGATTATCAAGATTTACTAGAATGTTACAAAAGCAATGTAAATGACTACATCTGTATTTCTTGTTAAAAGAGGGAAAAGAGAAACCAAAGAAAAACTATATTGAGCATCAAGTGCTGCCATTGTCCCAAGTGTTTGACCACTGATCTTTAATTTGCCTACTATATATGGTCAACTCTACGTTTATACCGCCCAAAATCATGACTGCAGGCTAGGGTTTTCTTGTTGAGCAAAAAGAAGTCTGAGGATTCTTAGTGACACGTGCTGGATAAAGATTCAACGAGATATATGGTTGCGTTAAATTATATTTTTGCATTACCTAACCCTGGTTTTGGGGTTCTTCAAACAGTGCTAGTAGAATTTACGAGCTGCCAGGTTACTTCCAGGTCCTTGTCTTGCCATCGGAAACTTGTAATATTATAATGCAAGAAAGAATGTTAATGACATCATAGGTTTGAATCACGTGAAGCATGCACCTATAAAACTAGCTGCATGTCGTCCCCTCAGAATATCCAAAACTCCTATTCCTTTGTGTCAATTTAACACCCTCACCAAGAGAGATTCCCCCATTTTTCCTTCTCAATTTTGATATCTGATTGTTTCCTGGTTAACTGTTAGTTTCTCATCAGTGCAATGGGTAGGTCTCCGTGCTGTGCAGAGGATGCCAATCTGAAAAAGGGGCCGTGGACTCCCGAAGAAGATCAGAAGCTGGTTGATTACATTAACAAAAATGGCCTTGGGAGTTGGAGGACTCTTCCAAAGCTTGCAGGGTTGAACAGATGTGGTAAAAGTTGCAGACTAAGGTGGACTAATTATCTGAGGCCTGATATCAAGAGAGGAAAATTCTCTGAAGAAGAAGAGAGAGTTATCATTAACCTCCATTCGGTTCTTGGAAACAAGTAAATTTGTTTTTCTCATGCTTAGTTTTCTTAAAAGATATGCTTGGAGTTAGAAAAGACATCTAACATCTTTGATTTACCTCTTTTATGCAGGTGGTCTAGAATTGCTACCCATCTTCCTGGACGAACAGATAATGAGATCAAGAACTTTTGGAACACCCACATTAGGAAGAAGCTCCTGAACATGGGGATTGACCCTCACACCCACAAGCCAAGGACTGATCTCGATCATCTTTTAAATCTTTCCCAGTTGCTATGTGCCGCACAATTAGGCAACTTGATGAATCCTTGGGACACTGTTTTTAAACTACAGGCTGATGCCGCTCAACTAGCCAAAGCCCAACTATTGCAAAACCTAATGCAAATCATGAACACGAACAAACCTGCAAATGTTGAGAGTGCTGCTGGTTTCCTAGGATCCCAAAATCCTTACTCACTTGAAGGCCTACTCAATGGAACAAGCACCCTTTCTGCTAAAGAACAAACCCCACAAACTCAGAATATTCAAAACAGCGCTGGTGCAATCCCTCAAGCATCAAGTGAATACCAGGCTGCTGAAGACCCATGGGCATATTTCCAAAGCGGAGTTAACTATGAAAGCCTTGACATGAACAATCAGAGTTTCAGCAACTCCTTTGAACAAACAGAAAATCCACTTCCTAAGTTGGTTTCAGGATCCCCTGAGACTTCACCAATTAACCAGATGGAAAACAAGACCGACACAGCTCCAGACTTCTCTATCTATGACTATGAGGCTTGGGAGAAGCTAATTATGGAAGATGAAGCCGATAGCTCCTACTGGAAAGAAATCCTAGAGTAGGCGATCTCTTCTCGGATTCTTTCATTCATTTCATCTCTTTGTTCGTCTGTTAATATGAATTGTTAACAGGTTTTTTTTTCCTTGTTATCGCTTTTGCAGCTTCACTTCATCATCCTCATCACCTATCTCATGGTAGAGCACCTGTTGGCATGATTCATATTCTCAACTTGATGCAGAGAAAAAGTATACTTCATTTTGTATTCTTTATTTTATTTTCAAGATTTTTCCATTTATTTTATTCATTTAGGAAGCTTGATTGAGCTACCTATATGTGCAAATTGTAAAGACAGCTTTAAGGGTTCAAGAATACGCATAGGCTTTGAGATTCTTTTGTTTGTTTTCTATATTAAAGTTTAAACTGTTTGCAATCTATAATAAATTTTTAAGTTAATGTTTCATTGTATTGAACAATGTTCGATGTGTATTTCCATTTATAATTACTCCATCAGCGCTACGTTTATTCTATATGGCAGAAGAAATCAAAATGATGAGAATATTGTTAGGAAGCAATCAATCCCAGGATCACAAATCATGGAATTATTTTGGTAAATTTTGCTCTTAAATTCATGCAAATTCTAGAGGAAATTAAAACGATTGGTTGAGATTTTGCATGTAAAATCATGTATGGTCAATAACAAAATGAAGGGAAAAGTTTTAGGAAGGAAAATTTAGAAACTGAAATTATCCAAAAATTCTCAAATATTAGATATGTATGTTAACATATCAAAAAGTATAGTAGATTGTACCTGACAAAAGTTGTATACCATCATATAAATTTTAAATAAATAAGATCTCTATTCAATATGATGTTTGTGTGATCAAATTAAATATAAGATTTCATTAATAAATTACTCGAAATTCAACCATAGGGTATATGTCAAATTCAACAATGTCACAGCCTCTTTCCACACCCTTGGGTCTTCTACTGTTACATCAGTATGATTAATAAATAAAGAAAAATAGGATTAACAATTCACTTGTGGATGTTAGCCTTTGTTTTTATTCACTAAAAGTCAGAATATTAGTTGAATCAATGTCGCCCTTTAGGTGAGATTGTTTCCGTTCCATATAAGCCATTGACTGTAGCAAAAACCATCACCAACCAAAACCACCCCTTACACTAACTTTGAGATCAATTTTGCAAACTTTTACTACTCTTTTTTGTGCAGGAATTTGCAAATTTTGCCTGATTTTTGTTGGAAAAATAGCGAACAGATTACTTCAATCCCCACCCAAACAAAAGGGTAAACAGACATTAGAATTGAGCTTTTGGGCTGCAATTGAACAAGGTAGGCTGTGTATGCTTCACGTAGAACACCCAAACCAGTTCAATTAGGCCTAGGGGCCTTTTTTTCAAATGGGCTTCAAGTTTTGTGCCCATGCTTTTCAATTTTATGAAATTATTTTACTCTTTTGATTCTGTACTGTCCAAAGAAATACAGAGTGGACAGAGGGGGAATGACTAAGCTGATCATGTTGCTAAAGCTGGCTGTATTCTTGATGTTGATTTTGAGGTACCGCGTTGGCTTCCTCATTCCTTTCCTTACCCTCTCTGCTTTTGGCAGATGCTTGGCCTGTCTCTTTCTTCCCATAACATGAAGGAAGGTTTCTTGGGTTTTCTTCTTCTGTTTTTTTTTTCTCATGTAACCCAAGAAATAATAAATATAATAATAACATGACAAAGGAAAGAACAAACACAAGAAACAAAGTTTCCAGTATTGACAGTATTTCCTAGTGATTAGGATCTCCATTTTAATCAATAACATTCACAGACAGGCCAACCAAATTCACAGCAACACAAAGAACAAAGGTGGTGTCAATAGAGATTATCTACCTGTGAACATATTCAACACAAACTGCGATGAAATCTGGAAAAAAAAAACCCTAAATTAAGCACCAAGGGTTCACAACACAAACTAAGTGCATCTCTATTCCCTTCCTGCGCATTTTTTATGCCCCTGAATCTAACCGTCATGAAAACATGCACAAAAGGATAAAGGGAAATGAAAGCAACTTAAAAGAAGAATTCAAATCCTCCTCCGAACTCCAGAAACATATAAAGAAATAGAATGCTGATACACACATATACTAATCGACTACTAAGCAAAGGTAACTATGGAATGTTCAATGAATGGCAAAAATGTAAACCATATAAAAGCACAAGACTGTTAAATCATTGACCGCTGATCATTAGAACAGGTTACTTGTGTCAAAGGCCTATTATTCATAAACACAGCAAAAGGATTAAAGCTACTGGCAAGGCAACACCATGAAAAGGAATTCATTTGCACTTCCAACATGGATCAGAGAAGCAATCAGGAGGCAATTATATGATTACAAGCCACTGTAAAGGTATCACCACAAACAATCAAATTCACAACACTCATGGTAGAAAAGATAAACAATAAAGCTAACAGACAAACTTCTTCAAAATGCAGATTTGGTGTATTTCTTCTTCTATTTCGATATCCCGAAGCATGATCTTGCTCATGCTTTTGTTATGGTCTATGCTAACCGAAGAACGAAATGGAGTAGATTATCAATGGAAATGGTGTAGCCAAGATGAGGTTAGGTCATAGAATCATGACATGAATTTCACTGACTGGAAAGAAACAATATTGCATATTCAACAAAACCAAAGCTTTAGAAAGTTCTTTTGAAATTAAAAAAATGGATTGACATTTAACGCTTGAGATAGAAACTTGTTTGCGTAGATAAGTAAAGACTCAACAGTTACATGTAAAAGGAAGCAAATCTGGAAAGAAATAAACCTTTTACTATTGGGTAAAACCTTTAACAAACATGTCAATATGAGTATACATGCATGAGGCAGTAAAACCTTTAACAAATATGCATAACAGTGAACAAAACCATTCAGAGGAATCCAAACAATTGGCATGAGATGCAGATATAAAACATCACAAGTTGTCTCATCCAACAGCCATAAATAGCACAACAATAGGCTTTGAGGACACAAGGAAATATAGATATGCAAAACCAGAACAGTTCCAGCATTTTTGTCGAAAAACAATGTCAAGCCACACAACAACAAGGTTCATATATCCCTAGTCGACACTTGTCGCTGGAACCAACTAATTAAAAGTATAATCCTAAAGCTTTGACCATGACCAATAACGGTCAAAACATAAACTGTTAAAAAAGGCATTATGAGTACAGAACACGTGTGAAGGGTTTGGAATCTAAGACTGCAAATTTGTCGGTTACGACAGCAGTGGAAGCTTTTGGAAAACATTACCAGATATGGTAAATGCCGCAAAACCAGGATGCAAGGACAGGACAAACAAGAATACAGTTATGTAAAACCAGAACAGTTTTGTACAAGGTTTACGTGTCAACAGAGTTCAAGTTTCCCACATCCTTGTTGAAATATCAGCCCATGCAAAAAAGATATTCACAAACCCATATTCCATGTCAGTAGCCAGACAAATCATCGAAAATGTAACCCTAAATGAATCAAAAATCTTCCTCCTACCCAATTCTCAATCAATCATTAACAGTAATCTGCAGTCAATCTAACAAGTGGATATCAACACATCACCTGGCAGTCAATGCCATAAATATTTCATCAACCGAAAGATTAAAAAGAAAGAAATTGACAAGTTTAGCTCCATTTAAAAAACTCATAGCTTTGTTTGCAACCTAGCATGCAAACTGGAAGTACTTACCAAAATTAATCTTGAATGGAGGAAAAAAGAGGGAACCCCTATTTAATATAGATCATGTTACCAAACGTACCATACCTAATATTCAACAACCACATTAATACACCGATTACCCACAAAACCTAGAAGGAAATATGAAGTATCTCCTGAAGCTAAATTTCAGAGTTTGCCAAAACATTTTCATTCTGTTAATTATTTGTCCAGTTTATACATCAAGTTAGCAACCTAGGTATCTAAACTGAAAAAGGAAAATACATTGCATTCGTTCCTACAAACATTTTTGGCAGGATTTAGATGACGGACTACCAACTTCATTATTTCAAAGAACAAACTCTAATGGAGCTACAGCAATCAATTCTGCACAAACAAAATTTGATCAAGCATTTAAAGAAGCACATCAATTTAATCAATGCACATAAAAAGCAAGAAAAATTGGAATCAAACTATCATTGGCAAAAACAAGAAAATTAGAATGAAACTATAAATGGCAAATTCCACTGACTAAAAGGTGCAAAACTAGAACACTTAAAAGCCTCAAAGTACAACTTAAATTCCCTAAAACATCAAAGTATTTTGAGAAGTACCTATCTCCAGAGCAACGGTGACAGAATATACATGATTAACACTGAACACCATGTAATTGTTGTCAAGAGGCTACAACTAAACTCAAAAGTACCCAACCTACTTATTTCAGCACTGTACGAACTGATGTCTAAAAATGGAAAATGTGCAACTCGCTTCGCCTCCACAAGCCAGCACCAGGGTCCAAATCCTTATACAATTGCAGCAACCCTCCCAAAACGACCAACCATGGAAATGAACCAAGCTACACCTTTTTCATCAATTTCCCTACAAATTTTTGGTCAAACTTGAATAGAGTTCTCCTTGTCTTCCCCATCACTACAGCAAGAATTGGTCACGGTTTTCCTTACTTCTTCCTCACAACTAAGCACCGACCTTCCATCAGTCCCTGCCACCTTCTCCTGGCTACACTCCACAACCAAACCCCTCTCCACCACCACATCCCTTTCTTTCCTATTCACTATATCACAAAAGAAATCAGTCAAAACTGTTTCATACCCCGGCATTTTTGCATAACCCGGAAAATAGTTAATGTCAATTATAAGATAGCGGTTTCCAAATCGGGTATCTCTTATCACATCAAAATTAAACAAATTCAATTTCATTGCCCTTCTCAAACCCCTAGCAATATCCGTCATGAAACTCTGCGGCGGCAATTCAGTGTCCTCCAAATGCATCTTCTTATAATACTTATCATCACTTTTCTCATGAGTAGCCAAATTGGAAACTTGAGAAAATGATAAAGACCCTTCTAAGCTCTTCAATTTCTCCTCTGAAACATCCGGTAACGACTTCCTTTTAACACATTTCACATATTCTCCGACCACGTAAACCTTAAAGATAACCCCTCCATGATTAACAAATTCTTGCAAAACAATCGGGGGCTTAAGCTTGTTCAACCCATCATGGTTAAAAACCAGAGACATTTTGTGTGATTTGGCGCTTCCATCAGCCACCAAGGGCTTGGCAATCACTGGAAACTTCAGCAATTCCCAAGCTTGGTTATCAAATAGGGTTTCTTGATCGTAAATCACAATCTGTTTAGGGATCCCAAAGGTTTCGCTTTGATTCTCGATCTTGAGTTCGGACACCACCTGGAGCATCGAAATCCTGTTGTGCAGCCGTTCGATAGCGTCAGGAGAATCGATAATCACAGCATTAGGGTTTCTTGAACGGAAATCTTCGAGCTGGCTCCTCCAATCCTCACCGTACAACTTGTGGAGCACGCAATGGAACGGCCCTTGTTCGACCAAAGGACGTCCCCTATCGATCTTTACCAGATCGATTCCTCGAGATTTCGCCTGATTCACCAACGATTCTCGAATGAAACTGTTCTCTTTCTTGGGTAAAAGCCCGTAACCAATCTCGAATCTTCTCTCCTCTCTCGCCATTGCCCACAGACGTTTCTTTCTTTCTTTCTTTTCCTTCTCTTTTCTCCTCTCACTTGCAAAAAATCCTCCTCTTCCACTTCTTTCTCTTCAATATTTGATTGCTTGATTCATAAAACGAAACGCTCGCTTCTTCGCATTTCAGATTTCGCAAGAAACCAAAGAAACCGAAATTAAGATTCATCAAAAGACTCAATTCCTTGGAATTTTAGGGTACGCTTTCCTTTTTAAATCTTAATTTCTGGATTTTTTTTTCCTTTTTCGCTTTTTTTCCGAAACAGTTTTGGAAAAATCGAAAACATAAAAAATCGCATGGTGGGAAAATGAAATGCGTATCGAGGAGGGGACTGGGGGAAGGTATATATAGCTTCGACTAGGGTTAGAGAAGGAACGTGCTATAAACTAAACCACGGTTAGCATACTTCTGAGACACGTGGCATATTTCTTTAGGTGATTATGCGGATTCGCGCCGCACAAATAAAGTGTAATGGACGGTGGTGATTTAGGGGGGAAAAGTGACAAGTAAGTGACAGTCAACGTTTGATTGAAATGATTGTGGAGCAACTTAAGACCTGAATTTTTATTTTCTTTCTTTTTGAAAGATGGTATTCTTTTCTTTAACTTATCGAATGGAATTTGAAATGCGTGGAATATTTAGGCTAAAAGCCTACCCTTAGCTTTTTCAACATTTAGATATTGATGCATATATATATATATATGTATATTATATAGTTATGAATTTGTCCTCCATGATGTGACATGTGAATTTCTCTTTTATTGCCTCGTGGAAAATCATCGTGTTGGCACACTTTTTTAGAGGTGATGTCAATAGTCGGTGGGCTTTTCATTTTTTCCTCTTTTTACATAATTGGTAAAGTGATTTAAAAAAAAATGAAAAGAAGAAAAATATATCATTTATAATTTGTAAATTTATACCAAAGCGAATCAATATTCATCTATAAATTTTGTTATTTATTTTTAATTAAATTAAAATAATTATAAAAAAATAAAAAATATTAAGTTCAGAGGAATTGAAATTTTTTCAAAACAAAAAAAGTCAATATTTAAGTTTCAATATTCTTCTAAAAAGTGATGTTATATTTATGTTATCAATTTCACGCAACGTTGCATGGTTGGTCACGTAAAAGTCCTTCATTTACTAAAAAAAATTTCAAAGAACACATGGATGGATTGTTAGAAAGTATTATCTTATGAACCAACACTTTATTTGTTGCAAAATGGGACAAGCTAAAACAACAGGAAGAACTTATTCTTTTCTGTTGACGGTATTCAGCAATTCAACCAATGAATTCAACTGAACAGACAAAACATATTGTACTACTAGTTTGACAATTCCAATCATCTAACACTTTTATCTCCTTTCTTTTTCAATTAATTGACTTTAGTCACGATATGGGAATCGTGTGCTTGTATGACCTTTTAAATTATGATTCCCACTGGAATAACTTATGCGTAAAATATAAAAAATATAGGAAAATTAAATCCCACCTTATGCTGACCCCAAGTGATGTAATTAGCTTAATTTGTTCTATCTACTCTTGTATGGCTTGCACCCACCAATGCCACCATGATCTAGAATCGAACCCACTCTTGTTTTTGGCCTTTTGGCGCATAGAAATGTCTTTCAAAAGTGCATTATCTTGTTAGCTTTTTTCCCTTTAATGTCTAAACAATATGGGGGGAAAGAGAATTAAAGGAGTTGAAAGTGAACCATTTTTGTGTAAAAGATGGCCAATTTTTCTCTTTGCCTCCACTACTAGGAATTATAGATGGTACCCAAGAATGCAATCATAAAGTCAAGACTAACAGTATTATAAGAAAAAGAAATGGATCCATTGCCATTTGAGGTGTTGTTATCAATCTCAATTTAAGTAGATACATGAAATCTATTGGTCACATATTGACACACGCATTTCCCACAAACCACTTGCTTCCAATCCATGCTCCTCCAATTTGAGTGGGTTTTGTTGGGGCATGTGGGTCAGTTTATCTCTACAGAGAAATCTTTGTATTATTGGGTGGTAGACGTGAGCATTAATTCGTGTAAATCAAAATAATCAATTAAAATTAATTATTAATTTTCTTGATTTTGATATCAATCAATTAGGACAAGTGATTTGTTCAATTATTTGAATTGATTTTTAACTTTCAAACTTTTTAATCGAATAGATAAAAAATCAACTATTAATAATAGTATATTACATATATTTATATAAAAATTATTATTAATATTTTAAAATGTAAATACTAAAATCAATCATCGAATCATTGAAATATCTCGATTTTAATATTATGAATATTATTTTTGGTTTTAGGCTTCCATTGGTGAAAACTTTTTCTTTTAGTACCATGTGTTTTAGTTTCAACAGCCAAAAGTAAAATGCTGTTTTGTGCATGTTTTTCTTTATTTATTTTTATTAATTCACCTTTGCACAAAGTAAAAAAGAAGAAAGTCTCTATTAATAGGAATTAAAAAAAATATTATTCATTAGTCAAAAAAATACTTTTCAAAGGGATTGCCCGTGGGGGAAAGCAATCCTTTGATGAAAAAGTTTCGTGATTTGTTTAGAATAAATTATTTTAATGATTAATTTAGGCATAAAGTGGACTATGGATGCTCGTATTCGACAAATAAATCATCAAGTGGATAGGATTATCAAATATTCTATTACCAAGGGACCAGTTAAAAAAAAAGTAAATAGGCTTTTCGAATATTCTAATGATATGGAACCGAACCTTCCACTCATCCACATTGTTTTCGTATAGAAATGAAAGTAATCTCATTGTCCCGTCAATATAGGGTCAAAATTAATTAGGTTTTTTTTATTAAAAGAAACTTTATGATCAATTAATTCTATGAAATATAAATATTTAGAATATGAAAAAAAGGATGGTGTAGATGTTTACAAGCCAAATTAAAAATAAAAAAGAAGTAATCGTATAAGGAGTTTGGTATTCAATTTTAATTCAATACTTATTTGTTATTTACTTGTATTTAATATAAATGACTTGTCTAATTTATAATATACGAAAAGTGACTAAATTAATGACTTATTTTTTTTAATAAACTTCAAAAGACCCATTTTATGGTAGTTGCTATACCATTAAAAAAAATGTCTCTAGTGTAAAACTTTCATTTTTAATTATTATATTTTGAAAAGATAATCCAAAAATGAACTTGGCACGACTGCAGAGTTCATACTTTCGTCTTAGGCCCAAGTAGAGGTGGGTTAACTTGGTCATAACTCAGGCCGGGCCGGATAACAAATGTATCCGTTAACTCAGGATAGACCCGTTAAGCTTCTCTTTTCTTTTTTTTTTTTCAATTTAAAAGTTTTTTCGCTTATTATGTCAATATTATAAAAAAAATCTAAATTTTTTTATTTATGCAAAATTTTAAAAAGTTTCAAATATAATAAAAAGTTTAAAAAGTTTCGAAACTCTTGAATGTACCAAGCCCAATTTGCTGCATTTCATCTTTGGGCCACAATCCATGGTGCTAGTATTTTCTTTTCTGTTGTCTATTTTGTGGATTAAGTGTACAATTTGTTATTAGGGCCTGTCCAATGGAATAGCACGATAACAAATATCCCATTCAGAAGAATGCAAAAAAGGGGTCTTTATGATATCAAAAACCTTCCAATAAATGGCTCTGAATATAACTTTAAATAAACCCATCAATAGCATTTAAGGATTTTGATAAGTATGTAAATCTCATTGAATTTCAATTTCCATAACCCTTTATGTAAATATATATGTGTGTATGTGTGTGTGTTTTATATGTTACTATAGCTAGGGCTAATATTTTCCATGAGTTGCCATATTTGACTGCAATTGGTTTTAATTGTGTAAAATTCAGTAATAATTACTGTTAATGAGAAAAAAACCCCACTTTGACATTATCAGGCCAAGAGTTGTAAAGATGATCTCCTAGAAAGGATAAGGACTAGAGATTAAAGGGAATGCTGTGATACATAACACTATATCTTCCTCTAAGACTCTTAAATCCTAATTTGTTATTGAAAAAAAATCTTCATCCATTAATTAATTTATATAATTACGATACTATAATTCACATTAATTCAAATATTTTTTAAGCATAATTGGATAAGATCGACGATGTTTGACTTTTAAATTTTAGTATATATATATATTAAAGGATTTTACGGTAATCAACACAAAATTCATTATAAAAAAATTATTTTGAAAAACACATTTTATTCGTGTTTAAATTTGACTTTTTATTCATTTATTTTATTGACTTGTACTTGTACATACAGGACATCTAGACCGTTAAATTGCATTTATTAAGTTATAATATTGTGAAATTTTGTAAACTAAGTATCAATAGGTTTGACAAAAGAAAAGATTAGAGAAACTAGTTTTCTTATTTTCTAAGCCAAAAGTACTATGACTTTTTCCTTGTTGTGGAGGCCTAAGACAATAATTGATATATTTGAGAGACAACACATTCAACCAACCTTCCCTAACAAGAAAGAACCAAATAATATTGCAAACCTCACCCTCCGACCAAGCCAAATCAAACCAACGCATATTTAAAAAAAAAGAAAGAGAAAAGGTTGTGGTAAGTGTATCTTACTCAAATGCATGTGTGAAGGGGCAAGGCTCGGGTTTGGATTGAAGTTATCGATGTGTCGTTTTCAAAATGAACTGATATGAATGGCAAAAATTAGAAAAAAAAAATGTGAATCACGTAGTGACTTTGGTGTTTTCACTAGAGACCATAAAGAAAATTGGACGCAATAACCGAACCATTTTGCTGAGGATTGCTATGATGCTTCTTAAATTTTTAATGCTCGATGAAGACGTTATTGTTTGTATACGATTCTCGTGGTTTCAACTTGAAATTTGAATTTTTGTTTTTTATTTTTTTTGTATGTGTTTAAATATCACTAGACATATTTAATGAGGTAAAAGAAGCAATATTTTTTTGGACAAAAATTAAATGGAATTAAAATATTTTAAAGTCATACAAAAATGCATTACAATTTTTATTTGGGGATGAATCGGGTGAAAAGGTCATTATCAAAGGTTCTAATAGAAAGAAAAGGATAAATATAAAAGTTCCAATAAAGTTTCAAGAGGTTTGCTTTACGTAACTTTCAAATTAGCAACTAGCAGCAAACGTACGCTGAATAAATAAATAAAATGATTAGTTGCTTAGAAGCTTAAAACGTGTGGAAAATCCTCATAACCAATGTATACGTGGCGAACCCACCCATAGCTGAGGGTATGGCCCATTTTCGTATGATATGCATATTTGTATATTATTTTATTATATTTAATTTAATTTTTATATTTTTATTTTAAATTAAATAAATTATTATAATTAAGGGATTGATTAAATATAATTACTTAAAACGTCATGTTATAAATTTATACTTACATGAATATCATATAACTTTATTATCATGTTACGTTATTATCTAATATGATATGTCGACATGTCATATTAACACTATATAACATATTATGACAAAAAATACTTTAATTAATTATAATTCATTAATTGTTAATTTTTATTTGATTTAAAATAAATATATAAATATTTGATTAAATACAATAAAAACTAAAAATTTATTTTAATTTTCTAAATATGTTAAGAATTTTGTTAATTATCAAGTATTTTTTAAATACTTAATATTCTTATTTTTTGTAATTTTTCTTTTTTATATTAAAAAGAATTATAAAAAATTAATATAAAATACATTTAAAATAAAATATTTTTATTTTTTAAAAAATAAAAAATGAAAGAAAACAAAATACTAAAATAAAATAATATCTGAATAAAATAAAATAAAATAAATTGGTGGATTGGAGTGCCAATGGCCAAAGTTCCCCCACCACCACCACCACTGTCCCGCACAACTGAGAAGAAAAGGACAAAGGGCAGTTTAGGAAAAAAAAAGCACTACAACTAAAACAAAAGAGAGGAGAGGCGGGCAGTTGGCCGCCGCGGGGCAACATCGGGGACGAGCACATGCCTCGGTCTGGTTGACGTAAGGCAATGATTGTCTCTTTGTGTTTGTGCATTTTGCCCGTTTCCCACTCTTTCACGTGCTTATCGTGGCCTACGTGTCATAGTCTTCATATTTCTAAATTCTTTTTCTATTTTAATCTTATTATTATTTTTATAATAATAATAATCTCTTATCTCTTTAAGCCAAATCTCCTATCTTTTTACTTTACTATGGTAAAACTGAAAAAAAAGAGGTGAGAAAGTAAGTTTTGTTTTAATTAAAACTATTAAAATAGTTCGTTTTCCATGCCATGTTAATGAAAAGGACAAAATAACTTAAAAATGAAAAAAAATAAGTAATTGTCTAATTGATAAGTCGACATCTTAATCAATAGAAAACAAACGCGTTGTGGACAGTAAAAATAATAAAAATAATTTAGATAAAGAGCAATACTTTTTTATAAGTGAAGTATTAAAAAAAATTCCTTAATTATTTTATTTAGTTAAACAAGTAATTATTTTTTATTATATTCAAATTATTTATATCTATTATTTTTAATTATAACAAAATATTAATAATTATCAAATATAATATCAATTGATGTTTTTCATACTCGATGTAAATAACGTGATAACTAACTTAGAATAAGTTATATGTTTGTGTTAACAAGTTATGTAAATAAAAAATATCAATTAATATTAGTAAGTATGAACCAAAAGTAGTGATGAGTGATGGTTGATGCTGTTTAGTTTTTATTTTTCATTTTTAATCGAATTATCGATTTGATTTATGATTTTATATAATTATTATTTATATAAAAATTTAAATTTATTTTTATATTAATAATTAATTTTTAGTTAAAATTAAATATATTTTTGGTATTTTTTCGTCAAATCTACTTTGGGATTTGATTGATCAACTACGCAATTTTGATCATTGTTAATCATCCAATTGCCTTCAACCTTTTGGCATTTTTCGGCGTTCTCACTCAACATATTTTTAGATTTATTTTTTTAATTATGACGTGGCAAAATCTCAGCTCCGATAATAAATCCATACACTAAAAAAAAAAAAACGAAACGACAGAAATATTAAATGTACTAAAAATAAAAAAGGGAAATTACTACAAAAGGGAAGCTGACGACCGACGACGCTGGATTTAAGGCTCTTACCGGGGAATATTCGTTCTCTGTTTTCTTTCTCTCAAACCGTTTGAGATAAAAGAAAGAAACATAGAGAAAGGGAGGGGGCGAGGAAGGGGAAGAAGTGTCCCAAAAGGCAATTAATTCTTCTTTCCGTCCTAACCATTTGTGTTTCTTTCTCTTTCTCTCTCTCTCTTTCTTTTCTCTCTGTTTTTTCCTGAAGGGAAAAAGGAAAAACGAAAAAGGTAATAAAGAGCAGAGAAGAGGAGAGAAAGGGAAGGGAATTTGGAACCCAAAAGGGAGAAATGGACGGGAGAGAAGAGATGAAGGGATCCAAACCCAGGTTTCCTTTGAGCTTTTGGGAGGTGACGGTGGCTTCCACGGTGGTGATGGCGTTTGTTTTGGGGCTTGTTGGCGTTTATTTAACCATGCCCGCATCTGATTATAGCTTCCTCAAATTACCCAGGAGCCTTGAAGATCTTCAAATCCTTAGGTTTGTTGGCTTTTTCCTTTAATTTGGAAAATTTTTTCATTTTTCCTTCTATTTTGGAAAACCGAATGGGAAATTTGGATTTGTTACTTTGCTGTGTTTTGTTGGTGACGAATATAAACAACAACAAAAAAAAAGTTGTCTCTTGGAAACTTGGGGGGCTAATGTGTTATTTGAGATTGCATTCAATCCCTTGAGTTTGCTTTGATTTCTGTTTTCATGTGTTAATTCTCTTCTATCTTTGATTTCTGTATGGTTTTTTTTTTAATCTGTAAATTAACAAGTTATAGAATCTGTTTTGTTTCAAGCGAAAGGAAACTTTTGTCCCTTATTGTGATGAATATGGGGCAAATGATGAATGAACTTGTCCTTTTTGGAATTCCAAAAATGGGTGTGATTTTGGATTAGATTGCATTGTATTTCTGCTCATCAATGAGTTTCTGTTAAGGGTTCTTTAGAAAATGACCAATTTCTTTTTCTTTTTCCAAGAAAGATGAGCCATGAAATCTAAATGAAGCTAAGAAGTAGATAAGTCTGCCAGGAATTGGTGTACCAGGTGGATAGATGAGAAGGATAAATTAGTGACTGAATGCGGAGAAAAGGCTTGTTTGAGAATTATTCAGAATGTGCAACTTTTGTGGTCAAGTCCTTAGTAACTAGGAAGGCCCTAAAGCAGTGCGGAGAATATTTATTGACTAGTGATTAAAGAATCAGATTTTGATGTTGTTTTGCCTGACCTTGAGATGCCTGTACCTTATGGATCTGTAATTGGTGATTCTGACTAAGTTTGATACGAATTATGCGAGGATGGCTTATTCAATTTTTTTTCTCTTCTTCTGTTTAGTTTTTAAAAAGTTTCAGATGCTACTTCTTACATGTTATGTTTCCATGTTGGTGAAAAAACCAGTTGGTTTAAAGAGATAACATGTGCTAGCATGCAGTGATTGTTGGTGCTTTCTGGGTTCACAATTGAAGAAATTTTCTTTCAATTTTTGGACTTGAAAATCTTTGTATCCTCTCCTCTTTGAGGTGTCTTTTGTGTTTTCTTGCTTTACATTGATTTTTTTATACCACGTATCATGTAGAGATCACCTTGAAACCTACACAAGTGACTACACCCTACAAGTCCTGGTGGGGTATTGTGTAGTCTACATTTTCATGCAAACTTTCATGATTCCGGGAACTGTTTTCATGTCATTGCTTGCTGGAGCCCTGTTTGGAGTCTTCAAAGGCGTAGCTCTTGTTGTGTTCACTGCCACTGCTGGCGCTTCTTCTTGCTATTTCCTGTCAAAATTGATTGGGCGGCCCCTTGTCTTTTCCCTCTGGCCTGACAAGCTGAGCTTCTTCCAAGCCCAGGTGATTTTCAATTGCTTATTGAAGCCATCTTTGCTTACATTAAGCTAAGAAATGGAATAAGTTCGAACTTTTTTGCTTGCAGGTAGCTCAAAGAAGGGAGCGACTGTTGAACTACATGCTTTTCCTAAGGCTTACTCCAACTTTGCCAAATACATTTATTAATGTTGCTTCACCTATTGTCGATGTGCCATACCATGTTTTCTTCATGGCAACTATTATTGGACTCATTCCTGCTGCTTACATAACTGTCAGGGTATTTTACTTTTGACTTTCATGTAAAAGTTGCATGTTAAGTTAGCCTATTCTCTCTTAGGTTTATATCCACTTTAATGCCATTCTTGATGCTTTATTAATGCAAGCTTGTCCGTTCATTTTGCAGGCTGGAATAGCTCTTGGAGAGTTACAATCTGTAGGGGATCTTTATGACTTCAACTCAATTGCCACTCTTTTCCTCATAGGGGTTGTCTCTGTCACACCTACGCTTATGAGCAAAACCAAATCATAGCATTTTAATGGCTGAGCTTGCTTTGTACATTGGGCTTCAATCTTCTCGTAGCCATTTGGGTTGCCACAACTTCTGTGCAGACTAGCATAAAATAAATGCAATGTGCTGCTGCTGTTTCTCTGGTTAGCGGAATTCGTACTGGTTCTGCTGATATTGAAGATGGTGATCTGGCAAAGGTGTTAGTCATCAAATTCTTTTTCATTGCATTGTATTTCTTTAACCAGTCTCAGGTTGGGCCTGTATAGGGAGAGGAACATGAGAAAAGTTGGGGGAAAGGCTGTTATTTGTTTCAATTTCAATTTTATTGGAAAGAATAGTCTTCAGAGAATCTGTATATCCTTTCTAGTGGTTCATATCAAAGAACATGGTCTTTCTCGGTGTTTGTTGTGGATTTTTGTGGTCTCCAATTGCAAGGTTCCTTTCCTTTATGCACAAGATACTGATAGTTTCAATCTCTTTAATGTCTTATACCTTTGGCTTTGAAGCCAAGTCAATTAGAGACATAAGATGACCTTCACACGCAATTTGCAAATCTTTAGAAGCAGGTACTTCATCACGTTAAGAAACAACTTCTTAGGTGACAATTATTTCTTGCTGTGTGAAATTTGTCCAAAGATCTGCCCTAAGCAAAAGACTTCCAAAGAAAAGAATTTTAAGAATATGCCTTAAGCATCCTACCAATAATACCAAACAATAGCAGGTTTACAAAGAAGCGTCCTATTCCAAAGAAAAGAATATGGATTCATTAGTGCAATTGCAGTGTTTCCCTCCTAAAATGACAAAACTTTACAAATTCAACTGATGGTTCCTAGATAAAATTAGCTTTTAGCCAAAATTGAGTTAATCTGCCTGATATTTTGATATTACAATTATGGTTGAAAATTCAAATCACATGGCAAATTATGTAAAAAGATTGTGACACTTACTTTTTTCCGCCAAAAGCATTTCCCGAGCACAAAAATATAAGCATACAAACAACAATCCTTGTTACAAAAGCTTTGCTGATAAAAAACATAATTTGTTGCAAGGGTACATGTATTTTTGAGACTGCACAGGTCTACTTGTATAATTATTCCCTCAGGTTGGGTTCCTTTTTATCAGGTATGAGACAAGGCCTTTCTTCTGTTTCCTACCTAAATCTTTTGGCTTTCTTCTTCAGATGGACGCTCCCAGGACTCGAACTGTCGAGCTTGCGTTTTACACCTGCTTGTTTGGAAACACCAGCATCCTTGTGTGCTTTTGCCTTGGCCTTTCTAGTAGCAACAGATGGTCTTTTCGTCTTGCGTTCTTTTGCCTTCTCGCTCTTTTGATCTTTAAATTTCGTTTTCACAGGGCTGGTGCCCTTTGAATGAGCTTTCTTCTGGACACCTGATTTGCTAGCACGCAAGCCCTGGTACGACAAAGAAGCTTTTGCATTTGATCTGCTGGCATTAGTTGAAGGAGTACTTGGATCCACTCCAAACTTCTTGGCTGGGGCATTATTTGTACCTGAAGATGATGGATTCTTTCTCTTAGATGGGGTGGCATCTGGTCTGGCATGAGAAAGCCTGAGCTCTCTATCCCTAAGCTTCAGTGTTCGTTTCCTAACAACCACATTTGCTGCCTCCTGCATCCATAATGCACATCAGTGACTTGCAAAACAAGTACAAAAAAATGGTGCTGCTAATGCAACACTTAAAAGTCTCCAATCAAGAGAAGCCCCCTCCCCTCACTTTTCTCTTTCTTCTCCCCTCACCAAAGAAGATAGAGATTTAGATCAGACTAATTCGAGGAATACAGCTAATTAAGCAGCTCTCATACCTAAAACTAGATCATATTGCACTGAAATTATAAAGCAATAAAAAGTGGGAGGTCCTAGTTCACCTCTAAAGAGGGAAGGGATAAGCAACAAGGAGATCTGACTTACAGTTCAATATTGTCAATTAATCAACATTTTCAAAAGGGCAAATGATACAGGCCCCATAGATTGATATAGAGGCATATCAGTCACATTGCCGGTAGGTCTCATAACAAAAGAAAATAATGTTCAGTTCACCCAACAGAAAATTTTTGAAACTAGAAGTAAAAAAGTTTCACATTTCTTATTTTTTTTTTTAAAGTAGTTTCACATTTCAATTAATAAATGAATAGTTGAAAAAAATTATGAATAAGTGTAGATATACCCTTGTTTTGAACAAGACATAAGCAATTCCCTTGCCAACACCAAATTGAGGATCTCTAACAACCCGAACAGCTTCAATGCTGGACTCCAGATTATTGATACCACAAAACAGCTGATAAATTTCTTCATCCTGCAGTAAATTGTAAAATTATATTTCAGATCACAGTAACGTAAGCAGGAAATTAAAAACGCATACTGGAATCGTGATATGAATATTAGACGCAAGTGATCACCTTCACATCAAATGGGAGATTACCAACAAAAACAGTCCTCTTGTTATCGTAGAGAGGAGCACTCTCCCCTTTTAACTTTTTTCTTGGTGGGCATGACCTATCAACACGAATGTGATTTCCAGCAACCTATATCCACAACCAAACAATCAATAGACAATATCTTCACCTTAAGCATTACAATTGCTCTGCCAACACTAAGAAAAACACATACCACAGCCATGTTATGTGCCAAAGATGCCTCTGCAGATTCCTCTGTTTTGAAAACAATGTATGCATGAACACTGCAGAAAAGCAACATTAACAGTCACCAAGATATGGGAGTTAACTTAACAATAGGAGATAAGAGGGATCGACATTATAGCTACTTAAAAAAGTGATCTGTGATACGGATTAACAACATACGTATCAGCCTTCTCATTAAATTGCTTCAGCATTATAGCTCCTTTTCTCGGTTTCTTGGTCTAAACAAACAAAAACAACCCATTAGATACCTCATTAACCCAAAAATTTCATGACCAAAAGAGCTAAGAGAATTATAGAAAACTCACATCACTGAGAGGAATCGACCGAATTCTGACAGACTCAATCTCTCCAAACTTACTAAACTCCTTTATCAAGACCTTCTTCTTCACTTTAATCGGCAAATTTCCCACAAAAACAGTCCTCAAAAGTTTACTCTCATCATCAAACCCTTCTTTTGGAACCAAAGCAACCACCCCATCATCCTCTGCCTTCTTCCTCTTCTGACCGACAACTACCTCCTCCTCCGCTGCTGCTGCCACCGCCACAGTCCCATATTTCCTTTCCTCGTACTCCTTCTCCAACTCATCCCTCTTCCTCTTCTTCCTTTTCACATCTTGGCCTTTTGGGCTATCTGAGGCTTCCTTCTTTTCCTTGTTTACCAAGCCTTTTGCATCAAAACCGGAACTTTCAACATTTCTTGATAAGGAACCCCAATTTGGGTCTTCCGTGGCCTTCTCTTTCTTTGATTTCCGAGTCTCTGTAGCTTCTTCAATTGAACCCAAGCTAGAGTCTTGAGCTTTCTCTTTCTCCTTTCGCTTCCTCTGCTTTAATTCAACAGTATCTGAATCCAATGAACCAACTCTGTCACGGTCTTCAGCCGATTCTTGCGGTTTTCTTTTGAAGGGATTGCTATCAGAGAAAAGGGAAAAAAAGGCGGCATTTTGCTCCGAAACGTCGCCGAAGATGGTTTTGAAGATATTAGATTGAGGTGTAACGGTGTCGTCCCTGCCCGTCGTTTCTGGTTCTTTGGATTTCCTTTTTCCCATTGTTGGAACAAGGAGAGGAAGCTTTTGAGATTTGAACTGAAAACCCTAGAACTTCATGTTGGGAGGGAGAGATGATCATGGTAATGAATCTTCCAGGTCGGGTCTAAACGAGCACGTTTTCAAGCCCACGAATAATAGCTCAAAATGGGCCTAGCCCACTTGGTCTCATCTTCAAGCAAAACTCAAAGGCCTTATAAAATGAATCCAAATAAGCCCATAGAGCCCAATAGCCAGCCAGTGCCACGAAATTCTAAACAAAAATCTTCCACCTCATGTAGTATTCCTTTGGTATCCTTTTAATAATTTTGTTTTAATTTTACACTAGTAAATTTTTATATTAAAATTAAGTTTATGGTTAAATTATTTTATTTTTATTGTTAGGGTTAGGATTCAGAATTTAAAGTTTGGGAATTAAGTTTTTAATTAGTAATATAAGATTGAAAACTTGACTTAAAAGTAACATACGTTAATCAAACTTTAAGTTTAAGGTTTGTAAAAGTAAGAGAGATAGTGAGGGGAACTCAACCTATCAAGAAGGTTTTCAAATGGCAGATTTGGAGCAAAAACAAACTTCATCCATGGGGCAAAAATCCATGTACATGGTTTTTCGTTTTGATGAAGGTCCAATCCGTTACACCTTGTATTCCTTCACCAACATCAATCTTACCCACACACCACGAAAGCAGTCACCGCGTGCCATCGCCATGCTCCAAATGAGTCGTGACAAGTTCCCCCCTGGCATGGGATTCGTCGCGTTAGGGTCTAAACTCTATTGCATCAGTGGTCAATTGTAGAAGGGAGAGCAAAAGTTCAGCTCCAAGAAAGTTTTCGTTCTCGATCTTAATAGCATCGAGACATGTCACAAGGAAAAGAGATCTCCTTTGGTAGAAGAAGTTGCCGACATGCATGAAAGTAAGTGCTACCCTTACGTGTTTGAGATGCATGGAAAAATTTACGTCTTGGATGGTTGTCGAAACATCAATGCCGCTGAGGGTCTAGCTATAGGAAGCTTTGAAGTTTTCGATCCCGAGGTAGGTCAATGGGGTGTTCTGCCTAAATGTTATCAAACTGATTTGAGTGAATACATCAGATCTTTTGTATTTGGGCATGCCGCGGTAGGTGATAGAGTCTTCTTCCGCAGTGATTGTAGAGATTGTCGATGTTGGTTGTCCTCCTTCGATGTTAAGAATCGACAATGGTTTTATGATAATAGATGTTGTTGGGTTTCTGATGGAGAGAAAAAAGAGATGACAGGTTATATTTCTGCTTGGAATGACGCATTCAAGGAGCATGCAGTTGTTGGGAGAAGTTTTATTGTGAAAGACACCTTGTATGCCTTACAGAACGGATGCATCGGAGCTTACCATATCTCTAACAATGAAGATGATATATATATTCCTTGTGATGTAGTGAGGGGAATTGAGACTGAACATACATATAATGGGCCGTTACATAGCAGCATAATTGTTCCTGAGGCAGGCTTGGTACATCTCGGGGATGAGAAATTTTGTCTTGTTACTGGTGCTACCTATAGAAATGACTACGCAATAGTCAAGAAGGAAATTGTTTTCCTAACGTTTCAGACCATTAAACAGAAGAGTTCTAAGGCCGATCAAGTTTTCTGGTGGGCTGATATATATGATTTTCGTGCTGTTGAAGGCATTGACGCCCTTCTGGGGATGGTTCTCTACACCTTTGTAGCTTAAATGTATTTCTTCTTCGTCTTTTCATTTTCTGGGGTAAGCAAAGCTTTTCAATGTTTGATTCTCCATTTTCTGTTTTTCTTCCTTTTATTATGTTATGGATTCCTCTTATTATTTGTCTTTATGTTGCACGCCCCATACCCAAGATAAATCTCTCTTACGTGTTTGTTTATTGAGTAAATTCAACATGGTACACTTCTGTCATATTGGGATAATATAAACCAAAGTGCTGTTCAGTCCCAGGAGGCTTTAGATTCTCATTAAAAATGGCAAAAACATAAGTATCTATGCTTCTCCCTGGCCTCTTTGGTGTACCTGACGCTCCAGATACGTGTGCAATTAGCTTGTTATTGTACGTCTGGGCGTTGGCGATTGTTGCGATTTCACCATTTTCGTTTGAAGGCCATCCACTCTCTGATACGACAATAACAACAGAGTTGCCGCCCACTTTCTCCAATGCTGAGTAAACTGCATCGGTTATGGCATCAAAGAGATTCTTGTATCCAAGCTGACCATCTTTCACAACCACCTCACTGCTATTAAACAGTGCATAGGTCAAGGAAATGTTTTGTTGGTCATATATATAGGCAAAGTAAGGATACACATTGACGAGGAGAGGGCTCTTAGCTGCTGCTAGGAATTCCGTGATTGATTTCATTGTAGGACTCACCTCTTTAGTGAATTCCCCTCGAGAAGGAGGGTACGAATTCCCAAGAACAGCTGTTGAAACCGTTGTACTTACTGGGATTTCCTCCAGATTTGCTTCTCCTAATGCAGTTTTGAGATTTCTCATTGCAGGCAACACATGAACCGCCAAGTCACCAGGGATGACTTCATTACCAGCCGATATGCATCGAAACGTGACAGCTTCTGAATATGGAATCACATTTTCTTGAACCCAGTTTCTGGCAAAAGATAGGTCACTTGCAAGGTTTTGAAGATCCTGGTTGAGTATTCCGAGAATGACATCAATCCCAGACCCTTGGAGTACTTGAAGAGCATTGTAATTGGGGTCGAAAAGCCGAACTCGTGTAATTTGCCTGGATTTCAAGAGAGCAATGACCTCACTTGGTGGTGGAAGGTTGTTCCCTAGCATACCATAGTTGACTCCAACTAATCCAGCTTCTGCAATGGATAAATGCCCATGAAACAAGATTAGACAGAACGCTGATGTAAAACAGAGAAGCTGATTCATTGAAGCTTGTTCCAACAACCATACACTTAACTCGAAAAGGAGAAATGGCAAAACATTGAAAAGATCTTTCGCTAAAGCTTAGTTTATAAAGAGGAATGATTGGTTTAAAGGTAAAATAAATCATTGATATTAACTTTCAGATGGTCCATCGATGATGACTAAGAAATTTCTTTGCAAATTTTGTCTTCAGTGAATCTAGACAAGATACTTCCTCTCTCAAAGCAGAAGAACTGGCTGTTTCCTTTGTTCTAACTAGTGAGAAAATTCTACAATCTCCATGTCTATTAAAGAGTAAAACTTCTCTCCTAATGTCAATAATTATGTAATCAAGGATGGGGAAGGCCAGCTTCTATTCTTTGCTATGGGAGAAGGATTTCCATGACATGGAAAAGCCTTCAACGTTAGACTGTCAATGGCAGAAGAACAGAGCATGGTTGTATCATAGTGTCGTGTCTTTTCCTGGAATAAACTGAAGCATCTCTAGAAAATATATCTTTTACTACATACAAATAAAACTTAATCCCTGATCTCTTCCCTCCTCTCCATTCGGCCGAGTATAAGATGCCTACTTGCCTACAACGACGAAGGACAAATATTTGTTGTGTAGAAGCAACTGCAGGCCTTCAGCAATCCCATGTAGCATATGTGTCTCGCTACTCACATCCTTGTCTGACTTGCTGCCACTTGCTCAGATTCTGCAATCATGGATTATAAAAATTGTTTGATGACTTGGTCAAGATTCAGTTTTCAATCGGAAGAAGACAATTTTCAATGCTTTGATCACTAGTTGACTAGAAGCAACAACAACTAGTATTTAGTCTAAATTTAAGTGCAAAGCTTTGCATCCTTAAGTGGGGGCAGAAAGAGAGTGATAGAGGAAGGGACTGCAGCTCAGGGTGATTACCTTCCTACCTTCTCTATATCAAATTCTTCCTAGTACGGAAAATTATCTTGTTTCAGCTTTTGCGACATTAGTACAATCAAATGACACCAATTGTGGTTTTCTGATATTTTTAAGTTGACAGAGTTGTTAACAGGGAATTTGCTTTACTGAGGTGTTTGATCACAGTCCATCTTTCAGCCATCAGATAGAATTTTTCTGGTTTATCTTTTACTATTTGGCAAACTCATATACCATAGACCTTCAATGGGTCACATTTTCAGAAAAGTTCCCTCCTTGATTTGATTCCATCTGCCCAATGAAACACCTTGTGTTATTCTACTTGCCACTACATGGGGATAATGAAGTCTACGTATAACAATAGAACCCCTTTTTTTTTTTCACATATTTTTTGTTGACTACTGCATAATCCACAAGGATGCTAACAAGAACATCAGTTATATATAGCATTCATTTTGATTAAGTAGTGAAACTAGGCAGATTGCAGATACATTTTTTTACTGTGTTTTAGGCATTTCAGAACCAAAATTCTCATTTCTGTTGTTTGTTTTATTCTTTGTGAAACCCTCCTCAGATATGGAAGAGAAAAGAGAGCAAACTCATCAGCAGCAGATCAAAGAAGAAAATCCCTCAAAGCAAGCACAACCCAGCCAAGAAGATAACTCTTCCGAGCCTATGAAAGAGAAAGACGGTGTTAAGTAAGTTCACCAAAATGAGCAGATTAAAGAAATAACTGATGCTCGTGACGAGGGCAAGCAAGAGGAGAGAGTTATTCCCATGCTTGAAGAAAACCAGTTACTAGATGGCAGAAAGGAAGAAAAAGATAGAAATGGAGAAGAAGTCAATGTAGAGAACCAAGTATTGAAGTCTAAAAAGATTGGAGACAGCCAAATTGATTTGGCAAAGAAACCAAAACGGGGCTCAAAACAATGCTTGAAGACAAAACCTACAATTCCTCAGCCATTTTCTTTGTCATTTGCAAAAAGAATGTCCAAGGAAAAACGAGGGTCATTTGATTTTTCTTCAGAAAACATGAAACGAAAGCCTAAAGAAAGGCAAGGTTCAATGGACTTCAAAAACCCATATTCACAACCTAGACTATCCCGATCTGTCAGCTTAAGCCACAAGTAAGTTCCATAGATTAAACTAAAGATTGCATATTAGGCCACCAGTTCTAACTTCAGATTCCAATGTCACAGGGATCAATTCTGACCCAGTGCCAGAGAAACCTCTGACCTTAAGCGTGCAAAATGGATTCGTGGTACTTCTAAAACAAGTTTCATGCCTCAAGTTACAGCTGCTGATCAGCATATTGAGAATAGAATTGAGGTGAGCTCCATCTCTTGACTATAAATTAAGATTAAGATAATGACAGAATCCTCTCATTTATACGACTTTTTTCTTTAAATTATTGAATTTCTACACAATAAAGAGAATTGCGTACCAATCTAGCAGAATGCCCAGAAAACGAAGGAAAGGACTTTGCTTAAGGGGGCTGAAAACAAGCACCTGAAGGGAAGTGACAAGGTAAACTACAGAGGAATATCAGCCTAAATCTTTAATGCCTTTTTTTGGAACTGCATGACCGCAATCATCGTCATGTCTAACATGCATCTGTATATGCAGAAGCAGCGAGTAGAGGAAATGGAAAGTAGTAATCTTCAAAAGAGTTCCACCTTTAAAGCATCGCCATTACCAAGGTTCTATCAGAAAGATTCTCCTCCAAAATCTGAGACTAAGAAGGTGAGTTATCAAACTATTTCTTCAACTTATGCACAGATTTCGTAAGACTTCGAACAATTTAGCTCCTTCATTGAGTTTGTAAATCACAGATGCCAGGAATAAATTCAAAGTCTTATTTGCCTGGCCAACAAAATTTCCTGGATCTATGTCTAAGGCTGAAAACAAGAAGATAGAAGACCAGAGTAAAGGGCCATCGCAGACAATAACCAACGGGACTAAGGAAACCATAACGAAACTACTCAGAAGCACAAGAAAGGTTCTGCATACTTCAAAGGTAACAACGAAAGTTATTGTTTCAGTTGCCTGAAGACTGGCTTGTGGCCTGGAAAATGGCAGCATTTTCTAAATATCTATGCTTAATTTGCACATGAAGGCTTTTCTTTGTTTTTCATTGAAATGAATATAGAAACTTCTCAGTGCTTTCGGGAAGCAAAGATTGATCGCTTGGCACAAGTTGTATATCTAAACTTTTTCAAGTCATTTTCAATTCCCCTGGAAATTATCTCGTCTCTCAACGCAGTCATTGAATGATCATGACTTGTCTTGGCATTAGAATAAAAAACAACACAAAATTGAAACACTTACATCATGTTATTAGAATTAAACCACAAAGTCTTGGTTGGGTATTGAGATCATGTTACTATAACGTTTTCCAATTGTTAGCAGAAAAATGGGATTGAATCTGGTGATTCAAATAGGCCTTGCTCTTGTAAATTATCTAGAGATTTAGCAGTAATGCTGTGAAAGAAAAACAGATTGTAAAATTGCTCTGGAATTTCCTTTCGTTAGACGCATGTTTCCCTCCCACCACCCAATCCCCTGGCGCATGTTAGTCGGTCCCATGGCATTACCCCAAAGATACTCTTCAAAATTCAACCACCACATGATCCTAACCGACCCCATGTTCTTATTGCCCACTTATTCTCTTCCCTTCTTTTTTATTCTTAATATAAAGAAAACCATCATGTAGTACAACACATTTACTCATTAATAAAACCTGATTAGGGTTTCCAAGCACTTTCCACAAACCCAATCAAAACCCATTAACAGATAACTATCCATTAATCATTATACAATTATAATCTAGTCACCTTTCTTTTTCTTTTTTCTCATATACAGCTCCACCTGCACCATAATTCGTCTTTAATCCGGAAACCAAGACCATCCAACGATTTGAAATTAGGCTAACAATAAACAAAAGTTAATTATACTAATGAAGTTAGTACTATAATTAAGTACTTGCTATATCTTGATAAACATATATAATACGGGGCATGGACAACTATATTAGTAATGGCAATTAATAACAGACAGAAGCATTAATATATAACTGTTTTTAGTACAAAATGCGTCTATATCTAAACTTCCTACCATGTACTAATTAGAAACCAACATATACTAGTAAAGTTTTACGTACATAAACCTTGTATATATACTTATCAGTAACTGATGTATACCTATTATATTGCTATCATCTTTCCTGATCTTCCCGACTAAGATTAACTTTCTTTTTCTGTGTCTGTTTCTAATCTTTTGCTCTTCAATTTCCTACATATGATCATAGTCAAAGCCATTACGCGGATCAAAAACTGCTTTAGGGTCTATGGAAACCATGATTTCAGAGGCAGTCCATAGCCTTGCAGCTTCGTTCGAGTTGGAACCCAGTTTCGACGTCCTTGCTTCGTTGCAGTCTGCAAAGTATTTCCCGCTTACATTTACTAGTCTTGGATGTGTTGCAACGAAACAAGTCGTAGCAGCTGCCTGCAACATCCACAAAGCTCATAAATTCCCATCAAAATCTTCCATTTTCCACTTCATCCATAGATATATCATATATTATTAATTTACCTGAGGGATTGTCTTCAGGAGCTTGGAAGCTAAAAAGAAAACCAGATCTGCAGGTTTTATAAGTAAAAACATTAGATTTTAGAGAGAGAGAGAGCGCTGAAATCATATATAAACTCCAATGTTTAACGAATATGTACTGTGTTTTGTAATTAACCTGTGATCAAGCCTTCACGTTCCCTGGTGAGACGGGTTCTAACGATCCCTGGATGAACACAGTTCACAGTCACGTTGGCATCCACTTGCTGCAATAATATTTGAGAAAAATAACAAAAAGAAAAAGATTTATAAGGTAAACAATTGGTGAAAAAATATATAAAGAAAACAACAAAATTTCGCTTTTTAAGAAGGCCTTTAAAATAAATGATGGATCACCTTCAGTCTCTGAGCAAGCTCCTTGGTATGCAAAACGTTGGCGAGCTTTGAGAGAGCATAAGCACGTGTCGCGTCGTAAGGACTGGAGACAGACACCCAGACACAAAAAACAAACGCAACCATAAAATTATATCAATATAAATGTCAAATGATCAAAACCCAATCTTTCTGTAACAATCATTTTACTACTACTATGTTTCTCATTATCTGATTCTTTGTCACTGTTTATAATCACTCCTGTTCCCCTGATTCTTTCCTTTCCCTTCTCGTTCCTCGGTTTCTCACCTTTTGCTTCTCGATATCTGGCCGAGATGTCGGATCACATCGCCAGAAAGCCAGCCGTGAATACTTGACGACACGTTCACGATTCGTCCTTGGACGCCAGATTCTTTTGCCGTTTTGATCATCTTGTTTAGCAACAACTTCGTCAACAAAAAATGACCTAAAAATCATACAAATATAAAGTTTGAGTCAGTATTTTTGGTAAAATATATAAGATAGAACTATTTACGTACTTACGTTGCATAAATTACCTAGATAATTAGTGGCAAATGTCATTTCGATTCCGTCCTCGGAGATTCCATGTTCATGCGCAAACTTGCCGGCGTTGTTTCTGATATTAACGAATAAAAATTAAGCTTGCTTGCAGTTCACAAAAGAACAAAAAAAGGTTTGTTGTTTCATTCAAGCTGAAGTTTAAATTGGTTTCTTTTTCTTTCGCTTTCTTCGCAAACAAACAGAACGTATTTGTTACCCGACAAAGAAAGTTGGTTAACTCTATTCATGTTATGACTGAAAATTCAGCTCATCGTTATTAGGTTTCTAAGCAAACCAAACATAAAGTAGTTTTTTGTTAAATAGAAGTTAAGCAAACAAGAGATTAGGAGTTTACATGAGGAGATTGAGAGGCAAGCTTAGTGACTGGAACTCCGATACAAATTTTCGAACAGAACTGAGAGAGCTAAGATCAAGAGCCATGACAACGATCTTCGCGTCAGGAAACTCCGACACAATCCTAGCCTTCCCTTCCTCAGCAGCTTTAAGGTTCCGAGCTGGAAGCACCAACCTCGCCCCTCGCTTCGCCAACACTCTAGCCGTCTCGGCTCCGATCCCCGACGTGGCACCTGTTTCGACATCTCACAATCAAAACCCAAGCGACAAAAAACAAAAAATTTGCCCCCACGACGCCGTTGGCTTCATTTACCTGTGATGATAGCGGTGACAAAGCGGAGATCAGGGCATGTCTCGGTGACTTGCTCGGCGGTCGACTTAGAACCGAAGCCGCTGGCCCCTGTTGAGCCGATCAGGTACTTCACAGTCTCTAGCATTTCCACCTTTTCTTTATTTCCTTTATGCGTGAATGAATTCGAGAGCTTAAAGTTGACTGAAGAGCACACAAAAGTACGTACAATTATTTAGTGATGGCAGTGACAGAGAGACTAAAAGATAGAAGCTCTGCAACCAAAAAAAAAAAAGCAGCGATGAACGGCTTTGTTTGATTTTGTCAGATTTTGCATTTACTTCGACATAGAAATTAGAAAGAGAATGGCAAAAAAATTAAAGGAAAGTAGCTAAAAGCTATTCTGTTTAAGGACGAAAGGGAAAGTGGGAGGATTTTATAACGGAGACCTTGGTGGAGAATCAATTAATAGAGAAAGAGAATGGATTATATGCTGGTCATTTGATTGATTAAAAGATAATTAAATTATGCATGATTAGGATTTAATGTTGTTTAGTTTTATATAATTAAAAGTGGGGTCTGATTAGAAGACTGGTTCTATCAAATATAAATATCGATCCATGGTTTTTACTGATTGCCCTCATTGGTTGAAAACATCGGGAATTCATCGGCTTTGTTGGAGAATTTTAGGCCTAGGAAATGATGAACAATTGTACTAGTATATGGTATGGTCAACAAAACACTGAGGTTTGACTCTAACGATGACACAACAATGATGTAATGCACCCCCTTGCTTTCATTAGGATGGCAACTTTGAACTTTGATTAAGCTTCATATAACCAAACCATGTTTTGTAAGGAATTGCAACAAGATAGAATTAGGACAACTTTACCTAAGCGCTTGATGAGATTGAATGTAATTTTTCCCTTGGGAAACTAAAGTCAAGAGTGCCTCATTTAATGTTTTCATCTATAATGACAATAAATTTCAATTTGGGATAATTTCTAGAAAAGTTTATGAATTACTAAAAAAATTTGAATATATTTTTATTTTTTATTATATTTAGTTAAATTTTGATATTTTTATTTTAAGTTAAATAAATTTTTATGATTAATGGATAATTAATAATTATTAACTCAAATACTATTTATCATTTTATCTCATGCGGCGGTAATGTAACATATTAACATATTATAATGAATGATGATATAGTATGTTATAGTACGATAACATAAGTATATGATTTTTTTACTTTTTATATCAATGTCATATTAACATAAAATGACAAGTGACATTCTATTTGATCTAAAATATGAGAACTTTATTAAATATAATAAAAATAAAAATTTATTTATTTTTTAAAATAATTCATGGTTTTTTTTCAATATATTATGTTCTTTAATTTCAACTTTATGATTGGGTTATCAACCAATCTATTTCCAATATAACTTTTAATTACTTGATCCTTCTTTTATAGTACAAAAAGCCCATGCATCCTAATGTCACATACATCTTTATTTGAGGTTTTTGTGTTCAAAAAGTCTACACCTCTACTATTATATAAGAAGATGAGGAAATTGGTGAATGGGGATTTCAAACAAGCAAGGTATACCATGAAGAAAACATAATATTTTATACCCAAAAAAAAAATAAAACAAGACATAAAATAAGCAGCATATATCGGGAGTGACAACTAAGGAATAAGTGGGGAGGGATTTGTTCAAAGTCAACAATTTGGGAAGTGAATAAACTAGTCAAACTATGGGTTTGTGCTGTGCAATTGTGGATCGTTGGTTGGTTGGAAACGGGGTCGGCGATTAATTAAAATGAATAAAATCGGTGGCACGAGGGCCTATGTGAGAAGCGACAAAGAGGAATCGCACGTGAGGGTTCCAAAATTATGCTAGATCGGTCAATTCCACGGCCTCGAATCTAGCATTTCCTCGGGATGTTAAAGTTCTACCCTTTGGTCAATCAATTCTCCCATTCAAATCCCCACTCTTCGTTGTTGTCTAAGCTCAACTTCAAAACCAATTATTATGAGCATATAGTATACAATAATAGAGTGAAATAAACATTAACTTGAAAATTAAATACATTAATTTATGGTAAAATACGAAAAACCCAAGATTAGAAGCTATACATTGAATAAATTGCGTAGTGATTCCAATCTTTTTTCTTTGTTTTTCCCCTTTAATTAATTAATCCCAACATACCTAGCAACCAACTCAATCTATGAATACCACATCTCACTCATGCACTCACATGTGGGATTGTGGGTTAATTTTTGGCTCTTATCGGATGAGCTTTTTTCTAAGATTATAAAATAATTGCATACCCTTTTAATCAAAATGGTGTGATTTATTTAAGATATCATCACTTTTCAATCATGGATTTAATTAGTGTACTCTCATTGGATACCCGAAGGGATAGATAGATATATAGTTGTACTCTCTCCATCGTCTCTACATGATGCAACTTAGCTTATAATTAATAAAGCAAAAGAGTAGATGATTTCTTAAGGCACGTTTGCTGCTGTAATCTGTCATAAGAAGAAGAAGAAAAAAAAAGGGTCGGTAGGGCCTTTACCACCTTAAAGATTAATTAATATACAAAAAGGCAAAAGGAGGTCACGAAATTTCAGCTTTTTGGAGCACTTGTTCAAGCTCCCGTGAGCCATGCTTTTGGGGACCTTCGTATGACATCATGTTCCCTTCTCCACAACTGCAAATTCCTTATTTCAAATGCAAAGTTTCTGATATGAATATGATCAGTACCAAGCTTCCCCTTGCTAAACAACAATTGATGCCACTTCTGCATTTTAATTCCTGTTCTTGGGGGAGGGTGGGTAGGAGTGGCTTAAGGTTCATGTATTCTTTATTCAGGATTGATTCTGGCCACATGATTAAAAAAAGAAGGGGGGAATCCAATTTGTCAATCCCATTTCACCTAGCATTTGGATCATATTCTGGCTGGCTGGTTTGGATTTAATATAGTATTTGTTTTTGCTTTGAAGTGATGTGTGTCTTGAAAGTATGACACATGCTGTCAGTACTTTAAGCAAGATATATGATCAGAGTGACAAATCTTTTTTCATCTTCTAGATGATTGTGAATTCTATAGATGCAAAAGAGAAGAAGAAGAAGAAGAAGAAAAAAAAGTAAAAGAGTTGGAAAGTGGGGCAAAGATGCTCAGAATGAATCATATTGAGTGAAATGGGCAGTTCAAACCGTGGGCCTCCCTTATCAAGTTCACAAAGCTGTTGGAAAACAACTGCATTTTCTGGTCTACCATGCCAATGATTTGTGTCACTGATTTGTAGTGGCCAATCTATTGGATGGTCCATTGTATGTCGACCATGTTCGTGAGTTGATCAGTGAAAAAGGTTCTGAAAGCCGTTCCTACTTTTACCTGGCATTCTTTGCTGTTTGATGATATAGATGAAACAGGTTAAGGTAAAATCTTTTGAAAATGGCAATAAGAATCCAAAATGAAAACTTGGGTTTCCATGAGATAGAACCAAGGCATCTAAAAGCCAAAATTGGTGCACATGCACTGAATTTCAAAGTAGAAATGACTTGTCAATTTCAAAGTAGAAATTTGCAATGAACACACCTTGTCATTAGTGAATAATCAACTCTCAGAATGAGAGGGATGGGGGATGCTTTTCTTGGAGGCCAACATAAAAGTACAATTTGAGGCCACGATTTATGTCCAAAGCAGCACATGGGGGATCAAGGATACTTGACCCGAACATAGATTCCGCCAGGCCAAAAACTCGAGGCATTTACATATTGGCTGATCAGAATCCTCCTAGTTACCCTCTGCAAAGTTCCAGTGCATCAGCCCCACACGTAGCAATACTTTAATTTATCTGCTACACATTAATCTCTGTCTCTGGTTCTTCTATTTTGTTGTTTAGCCCTTTTATGTTTTTTACCCAAGGGAAGCTCAAAGCAGTGCCAAAAACGAGTGTTGTATTCTCTATTGTTAATAGTTTCTGTTATAAAATTGCTGGCATCTTTAAAGAAGAAGGCCTTTCCTCCACTTTCAGGTTTTCCAAGCCTACTTTTACTGACTCTGATATGTACCTGAGGGGAGGGAAAAAGCTTTCCCTTTTCTCCTGGTTGGTCCCTTTTCATTATAGAAACCAGAAGAAAACGATTTGGCTCCTAAAATCCGAAGCCATTTTTGGTTCAGCAATTGCCAAGTGACATAAAACATTTCACATGCACCATTGTCTTACGTTTGGGCCCATGCATGAAAATTTTGCTCCAATATATAAAGATTTGTTAATCTGAAAAGGACTTCCCCAGATCAACCCCTTCGGCCAAAAAGTCGATTCCATTTGGACTGGTGTGGTGCAAAATATGGATGTAGTGATCAAATATAGGATCAAACCTTGCATTTTTTATACCATTATCTTAATTTGCTATTTCTTTTTTATCCTATAACATCATCTTCTCTTTCTCCCCTCTCAGCTAGGTGTTTCTTTAGCCAACTCTCTTTGACTAATGAGGCGGCTTAGCTAGGGAGTGGAACGTGTCTCATGACACTAAACTATGAGCAGAAAATTGGGCATTTGGTCATTACTTCCCACTCACTCATTTCCCAATCTACATTACACCCCATTATATAAATATATAGCTCAAAAGCATAGATGAATTGGGTCATTGAATACTACCATTCTTGAATGATTGCCACTCTTTTTCTTTTGGAGCCTAGAATCTTGCAGGGTCCCCCTCCATCACTTAAAATGAGGGGTTTTAATATTTGGTTTTGAATTGATGAGACTAATCATCTCTCCACCTCATGCTAGTATAAAATTTGCTAATGGGTATCTTATTAGACAAGGTTGTAAACTTCGCATTATCTTAGCTAGATATTCTTTACCAACTTCAAAAATTGGATTGCCATTAAATGGAACTCAAAAGAGGGAAAAAGAAGTGTTAAATTATTAGGATATCAAAGAAACAATTTGAAGCTCAACACCACTTTTTCTTTTTTCTCTTTTCTCTCTGATAAAGGATTAATTTTTAGTAATTACTTGAATTATCTTTAATTTGAATAAATAATCAGTTCAAAACCATGTTAATTAATATCGTTATTATATATATA